GCGAGAGCCATGTTCTTCCTGCTCTTCTGCCTATAATACATGTGGCCTCTCTCTTAGATGAGCTCCACTCTCTCCCTGTAGCTTTGCTTGGTGAACATCCCATACTCCTGATATATGCAACATCCTATGGTCTCCATTACAGCCTAGACTTTACCATCACAGCTTCAAGCAGTTGCTTCTCAAAATCACTTGTAGGGAACCTGTCCTGCCACATCTGGTCTCAGAAGCTTGGTAGGCCCTTAGTGAAAGCCTGCATGACCCTATAATTCTTATACTTTACATGCATAAAATATCAGCACCATGGGTATGGTGTTGACCATCTGAGATGGATACTGGCCCTTTCAGCGGGAGCTCTAGGTAGTGGCTGTTGCATGCCTTGGAATCCAAATTGGGAAAATTCTCTAGGCAATTGTTTTTGAACAGGGAACCCATTCAGAGACATTACCAGTTCCAGTCTCTCTCTTTTCAATTTTAAAAGCCTGTGCCTTTGATAGGAAGAGTCTCATTCTCAAGGTTCCTTTCCTCTTATGCCAATGCAAAGTGGGAGTGGGGTTCCTCCCTAAATTTGCTAAACCACTTTACAGTGGCAGCTACTTTCTCCACACTGGCCTCATCTGCAAACTTACATTACGTTCCTCACTGAAATGTACATTTTTTTCACATCATTCTGCTCTAGTGACTTCTCTAACTACCTCTCTCTACCTCTCTTTCTCTCTCTCTCTCTCTCTCTCCCTCTCTCTCTCATAGTAAGCAGGAAACATAACCATGCCACAGCCTGAGAATGCTATAGTGTCTTTAAATTTCTGCTATCAAATGAATTACTCCACTGCTTTTGAACTAGGCCTCACTCACATTTTGGGGAAATGGGCAGAATGTAGGCAAATTCTTTGCCAGAATGCAAAATGAATGGCCTCTCATGCAATTCCCAATAGAGTTCCTTGTTCTCTTCCTTAACTTTGTGACTCAGGCCTTAACTATATGCATTTCTTTGGTAATTTTTGCCATTCAATTGCATCCAGAATGGCCCACCAAGTTCCCACCACAAATTAGTACCAAGGGCTTGCAGACAACATAGCAACAGCCCTACTTTTTGATATTATTTTTTTGTATTGCTTACTTTTCTTGTCATTGTGACCAAGTAGCAGATAAAAAGTAAAGAAGTGCCATATTTGGTGGAGCATGCTTTTAATCCCAGCACTTGGAAAGCAGAGGCAGTCAGATCTTGGTGTCTGAAGCCAGCTTGGTCTACAGAGTGAGTTCCAGGACAGCCAGAACTACACAGCAAAACCCCATCTTGAAAAACCAAGAAGAAGGAGAAGGAGAAGGAGGAGGAAGAAGGAAGAAGGAGGAAAAAGGAGGAAGAAGGAGAAGGAAGAAGGAGAGGAAGAGGAAGAAGAGGAAGAGGAGGAAGAGGAGGAAGAGGAGGAGGAAGAACAAGGAGGAGGATGAAGTAGAAGAAGTAGAAGTAGTTTTGGTTTATGGTTTAAGAGATGCAGCAGTCCATTGTGTCAGGTAGACATGGTGGCAGGAGTGGGAGGTGTCTGGCCACATTGTATCTGCAGGCAGAGATGATACTGGTACTTAGATGAGTTTTTCCCTTTACTATTTTTATTTATTCCAGGGCCCTAGTCTTCTAGGGCCCTAGTCTTCTAGGGCCCTAGTCTTCTAGGGCCCTAGTCTTCTAGGGCCCTGGAATAAATATCTCTAAAATTCAGAGTAGGTCTTCCTTCCTCATTTCAACCTCTCTGATCACATGTCTTAGGGTTTCATTGCTGTGAAGAGACACCATGAGCACAGCAACTCTTATAAAGTAAAACATCTAATTGGGGCTGGCTTATATAGTTTAGAGGTTTAGCCTATTATCACCATATTAGGAAACATGACAGCATGCAAATACACATGGTGCTAGAGGAGGAGCTGAGAGTTCTACATTTTGATCCACAGGTGGAAGGAAGAGAACTGGCATGAGCTTCTGAGACCTCAAAGCCTGCTCCCTAGGGACATACTTCCTCCAACAAAGACACACCTACTCCATCAAGGCCACTAATAGTGCCACTTCCTATGGGCCTATGGAGGCCATTTTTTTAAGCCACAAATTACACCTTAACAAACATCACAGAGGTGTGTCTCCTAGGTAATTCTACATTCAGTCAGGTTGACAACAAAAATTAACTATTGTGATGCTGTTAATATGAAGCATTAACTAATTAATTTATTAAACATTGGCTCTAACCCAGAGACCAATAAACAAGGTAAAGAAGAAAAATATACTTATATATAAATGTTTATAAAGGGTACAAAAATTAACTTTTAGTACCTGTTGACCATAGACCACAAATGAAAACGAACCATGAAAAACCATCCAGGAGAACTGAGAGTGTAACATCAGTGAAGCTCATGCTTAACGTGCTCAAGTCCCAAGGTTTAATCTCAGCACAGAAACACAAAACAAAGCAAAGAGGTCACTGAAAGCACATAAACGTGGGGAAGTGTATGTGAGGTCTACATGGTGGGATAAAGGAGAGCGGTGCTGTTCTCAAAGAAAGGGAATCAAGAGAAAAAAAAGCAGGTAGACTGTTAAAGAGAGTTTTAATAAAAACTTTGCAGTTCTTTGCTAGCACAAAATCAATACAATGCAGGACATGGAAAACCATGTGCAGAAAAAGATTAAATGATACAAAAATATCGGTCAGAGTCAGAGAACAAAGTCACAAGTATTCAGAAACCAATTCAAAGCAGTCATGGGGGAGAGGATTCAAAGACACTGGGAAAATTTACTTGTTTTAAAATACGGTTGTAGAAACATGATTTGTTCATTTCATTTTTTTATGTTTGAAACATAATACATATTTTGTATGCCAGCTTTCTATCTACACATTTCACATCCAAGGATTTGACCAACCATAAATCAAACATTCTTGGGAAAAATATCTATATTCATGAGCATACACTCAGCTAACAACCTAAAGTTTAAAACATATATATCTCATGTAAACATGAATGACATTACTTCAAATGAGATTATCCTTTCCATATATTTTATGACTGAAAAAGAGAAAGAGGTAGAAAAAAGTAAATATAATCAACATAGTTGTGCTAAGAAAGAACAACAAAGACAGAATCTAAGATGTGAGATGATTTGAATAGCGAAGGAAAGAATATTACCAAAAAGAGAAACATACATGCACACACACACACACACACACACACATTTCAGAAATACAAATTCAAGGTAGAAGACAAGGGGTACAGTGACAGTTCCCCCAAAGGCTTTGTTATTACTGCTGCCAAAGGCGCTAAACGGCAATAATCATATTTGGGCACTCAAAAAATATTCCACATTGTCCTGGGTTTCAGAAAGTACATTTAAGGGCTGGAGAGATGGCTCAGCCATTAAAGGCTAGGCTCATAACCATAAATATAAGAAAGTACATTTAAAACATAATTATTTGGGTTATAAAATGGCAGATACACAATTAAACTTAAATCAATAGCTTAAATATTAAAATCTTACCCATGAAGTTCCTTTTCTAATCCTTCAGTTTTCTCCTTCTCTTTATCCAAAGCACATGCTAGAGACTGTGTTGACTGGGTAAGTTTATTTTGTTGTTTCTTTGTGTCTTCAGCCTTTGACAAAATATTTATAAGTATATTTTTTAAAATACCTAGAGACTCATCCAAATTTCTTAAAATAGTGTTTTCATGAGTTTATGACCAAAATTCCTTAGAAACGGTTTATAAAATGCCAACTAGAAAAATTCAAATAATGACTTTTGTTAAAACAGAATACACATTTGACCCAGAAGTTATACTGCTGGGTACATTTGCTAAAGGAGAAGTTTTGAGTAGTTGAAAGTTGACATGTGAACAAGCAGGAAAAAAACAGAATTATTTACTCATAAATGCCAGGAAACCCGTGAGCACCATTCACAGACACCTGACCTGAGCGTCATGAATGCCTGTGCTGGTGCTGAGTGTTCACTTACTGTCTATGGACAGGCGCCAGATGTAGGAACAACCGATGCGTATCTCTCAGCTACAAAAGAGACTGCAGGTTTCTTGTTTGGCTGTCAGCCCAGGCTAGCTTAGAATAAGGACCCAGTACAACCAAGGCTGACCTTCTGTCTCCACCTCGAAGGAGCTGAGACGGCAGGTGTGCTGTTTGGTGGTTTGAATGAGATTGACCCCCATAGGCTCAGACAGGCATGCTTAGTCCCCAATTCATGAGCTGTCTGGGAAGGATTAGGAGGTGTGGCCTTTTTGGAGTTGTGCCACCTAGGATGGAGCTCTGGTGGATAAGGTTGAAGTCTGATGTATCCAGATGACCAAACTGAGCTAGGTCTATTTCAGTGGACTCCCTTTTCTCAGCATGGTTCTAAAAGTCTTTCCCCCTCCCTAATTTGAGTGACCCCAGATGTTGTAAAGAACGTCACATAGCCCACAAGGAAGATCAGAGGCACAACCCTTTCCTGATAAGGAGACCATTTCAGCTAGCTAGCTATCCTGAAGATACCCACTTTATGTGCTAATAAGATGCCTTGATGTCTTGACTTTCCAAATGACCTTTGACTTGACCTGAAGATTTTCCCCTACCCATAGGATAATTAAGCACTGTGTTCTCCTTCCTGTGATAGGACCTTGCTACTGCATGAAAACTGAGGCACTGTACTACTACATGCAAATCAAGTATCCCTAAGCCCCAGACCCAATCAAATCAAAAACATTCACTCTCGAAATCCCCCCTCTGCTCAAGGTTTATAAATCCCTGGTTTCAAAAAAACGCATTGGAGGTTGCATGCTGCATGGTACCATCAGCCTTCCACCATGGCAGCCTGAGATTTGTCATAATTCTAAAAGAGGGAGGGCGCCCCTCTCCAGAAAATCACCACTGGATGCCCAACCTCTGCTGCAAATCAGGCAGCTGCCCAGCCTGAGCCTTGAGCGTCTGGCCTGCCTCGTGCTTCAGCCAACATTCAGCTTTTGCTGCTCAGCTGGTGTACAGAACCGCCTCAGCAGCCATTGCCTGCATCCGGCTGGGCTTCATCTCACCAGACCTGCCCTTTGCCGACTGGACCTGGACCTTGCCAAGTCTGTATCTCAGCTGCAAGCCGAGCAGGCATGGGCTTTCGCCCATATGTCTGGGGTACTATAATAGTACTTTCAATTTTCAATCCTAATGTATTTCTGTATGTGAAGAATTTCTGTCAGAACTCCTATTGACAGAATACTCCTAACCGATATGTTGGCATATATATGCAGGAAAAGCATAGTAATTGGTGGACTAATTAATTAACGAGAGTAAAATCTTTTTTCAATGCCTCTTCAGTCATGAGGAAGATCAGTCAATACAAATGTTCTCCTTTGCCCTGAGAAGTGTATGTATATAATGAACTACAAGTTATGACACAAAGAGACAAGTCAATAGAAACAAATACACCATTGCTCCAACTGAGTACTCACAGTGCAATCTTAAGATCCCGATTTCTTTGATTAAAAAGTTTATTTTATTTTAATTATGTGTTTACATGTGTCTGCATTTGTAAGTGCATATGTAAATGCAGGTACCCCCTGAGTCCAGAGGGGGCATCAGAACCCCTAGAGCTGGGGTTTGAGCAGTTGTGAGTCACCCAACATGGGTGCTGAGACACAAACTTGGGTCCTCCACAAATGTCTGCATGTCCATCTTTCCAGCCCATTGTGATCTCAATTTCTACAAAAGACTGTATGAGTAATAAAAGATTTTTACTCTGATGAGTATATTTTTTATGCTATGCCATTAAAATCGAATCCTAAATTATATCTCTATATTATGATATTTCATTGTGATGTCTTTTGAAGGGTAATGAGGATAAGGGAATAAAAAAGTTAGACTTTGCAACTTAAATGCCAGCAGTACCAGTTGTCTCTACAAGGCCCTATTACATCAAGCAGCCGTTTCTAACAACTTACTGTATCACCTTTCTTTAATGTCTAGAAAAAAATATATACTTTATTGGGGGAAGAGTTGGCATAACAGCCAATACTGATTCTTGATGAAATACAAATTAGAAACTATTCTTAAAACATCCCTGAAAGGCTAGATTACAAGGGACTACATCAAATGTCTACTTAGTATTCTAAGAAAAATCAAATATTAACAGAGCTCTATAAAATACTAATAGAAACTCAAGCAGATAATAGCATACCCATGTCCCTCTAGAGTAGGGTTACAATAGGCAGAAGGTGGAAACAGCCAGGAGGTCCCTCAGTGGATGGATAAACACAGTGAGGTGTTCCTGATCTTCTCTAGCAAGACCTAACTGCACAAATATTAATTCAATGAATTCAGACAAGCTCTTCTGCTAAGACAAGAAAGCTTGCACTCTTACACATATTATCATCATGAATACAAAAATATTTTTTATCAATTAACTCTTTCCTGTTTCCTCTAATTTTCCCACAAAGTAGCACTGAGGACAGGAAATTCTCTCTTCATGGTGGCAGAAATGAATAATAAACTAACTTACCAAATCCTCTCTAAATAGTTGATTCTCAATCTCTTCAATTTCTTCTGCTTGGTTCTTTACTGAGTCCTCTAACTTAAGGCATTCAACTTCCAGCCTAAAAAGGTATTTTACAGAATAACTAATTATTCTCAATTTTTAATGATTTGATTCTTAAGAAACTGAAAAGAAAAATTAGGGAATCCAGGATCTTGCCAATGCAAAGTATTAGCATAGCACTAATTATATCCCAGCCCTAAATTAGACATTGCATACAGCATAGTCTGTCTGGCTTAGCACCGGTGTGTTTATTGCTGTGGCGACACAATCTCCATACTGCACTGCTGATCAGTTTTACGACTAACTGAGGGGTTTTACATGAGGCTTTAAGTCATACTTCCGCAGCAGATGTTCCTTGCTGGTGGAACTCAAAACCCCTTCTCTCTGTGGATCTTCTCCCAGCTGTGCTTCCTGCAACTAAAACAAAGAAGCTTAGAGTGTCTTCCAGAACACATTTGCCCATCACCCATTTTCATGCTAAAGCACTAGTCAAAACAGCTGCATCCATTCACCATTCAGCCATTGTCTGTGGGAGCTTCCATGCAGACAGAGCAGAGTTGATGGAACAGGAACCTTACTCCTATGTAGCCTACAACCATATGGTCCACTTTCCTGCAGAAAAGTTGTTGAACTCTGCTCTAGAATGACTCTTACATGACTCGTACATGACTCTTCTTTTTAAATTACATTTCATGAGATATTCATACAGAAAAAAAATCATAAAATGGGAGAAAACCCAGTAATTCCATGTGTGAAGAATTTGCTTTTATTTCAATACTACCTCAAAAAAGATCATTTGAAAACTTCATGTAGATGAGTGATCAAAGGATACTAGTGGTAATAAAAATAAAGATGGGGGAGCCAAGATGGTGGCGCCGGGAGAGCACTGTGTCTGAGAAGCGGGAGAGCACTCTCCCTGCAGCAACCAGGAGACTGAACTCTGGGCCCTAAAACTACAGCAATCCTGTTTCTCAGGTGAGGGGAGGCTACCACAGTGTGGGAATCGGTCGGTTCCACTCTGGGCTGCCCAGCCAGAACCCAAAAGAAATCCCGGGTAACATGGGCTTTGGGTCTCTGGACTGGAGCCGCACACCTGCGTGTCCCGATCACTTTCCCAGGCTAATCGGTGGGCACAAAGGTGCCTGAGACTGAGAGTCCCAGTCGAAAGAAAACCCCACGGGGAAGCAAAGTTGCGAGTCTGATCACGGGTCACCCAGTCTTTCCCTGGAAGGTCTCTCCGACCGTGGGTACCTGCCGCAATCACAACTGAGCTCCCGCCTCACAGAGAGCTGCATGCCCAGCTCAACGGTACAGACAAGCTGCACGCCCCAGTGCAACAGAGATTGGGAACCCTTGTCCGGAGAGGGTCCCACAGGGAAGGAAGAAACTGTGTTGCTGGGGTCACCCAGGCTTTGCCGGGGAAAGTCTAGCAGACCACAGATCGCAAACAGGCGAGTATGCCCAGCCATCACAGATCCGGGCCCAAGTAGGGAGCACAGAAATATTGGGAACCCAGCTCCCGCAGACTAGCAGGCAGGCGCACGCTTCGCCAGCCCAGAGGCCTGCTTTGTACCAACTACTCCTTACAGACAGAACTGTGTGTCCCAAGACACCAGAGTCTTAGAGTCACTGTCTGGAGAAACCCTCACAAGGAACAAGGAACGAAACAAAGGGGACGCACTTAGGCAATCCAGTATATCCCCGGAAAAGGTCCCACAGACTGACCCAACCCAGGGAACTGCTATGCCCCAGATAGCCTGCTGTTACCAGGAGAGCAGTACTCACCTACCACAGATTACCTCTTAGGTTCTGGGTCACAGAGCCCCAACCTCAGACCTACAAAAGACCAGGAACTCTGAGATCAACCCCCAGATACTGCTCCAAGGGGCAACCACTTATCCCTAACAAAACCGACCAAACCACAGGATCACTAAACTTACAGGAAGAAACCCAGAAGGAGGGCAGCTGTCTCCAGGACTTCTCCCCATGAGAGGAGAGCCCTCTTGACTAATCAGGACCACAGTTACCACCCAGATCTCTATGCCTGAGGTGAGCTGTAGCAACTCCTGAAAAACACCAGCCATCCAGTGACTGTACCCAAAAAGCTGAGAAGGCTTCCTTCAGGAAAAACCATCTTCCTGCCAAAGGGATTCTCTCCACTACAAGAGTCCAGGAACAACCAGAAACTAACTTCTAACAACTAAGATAGCCCAGTGGGTAGAGGACAGCGTAAAAGTTCAACCAACAAAAGCCAGAGCAATATGGCATCTCCAGAACCCAGTTATCAAGGGGCATATAGCCCTAGACACCCCAGCATAATTGAAATTCAAGGAGATGACCTAACATCTATGCTCATGAAGAAGATAACAGAGGAAACAAATAAAATACAAAAAGAAATAGAGGAAGCTGCAGCCAAACAGTTTGTGGCCTTAAGAGAGGAAATACTTAAATCACTGAATGAAATAAAAGAAACAGTGGATTGTTCAAACAAACAGCTGAAGGAATTGACGGAAAAACATGAAAATACAGTCAGACAGGTGAAGGAAACCAAAAAAATAGCTCAAGACCTGACGATAGACTTGGAAAAATTAAAAAAAAAAAAAAAACACAAATGGAGTGAACGGAATTTTATGTAAGAAGTGGGAAATAGTAAGAGCTGGAGAGGACAGGGTCTCCACAAGGAGAGCAACAGAACAAGAAAATTTGAACACAGGGAACTTCCCAGAGACTCATACTCCAACCAAGGACTATTCATGGAGATAACCTAGAACCCCTGCACTGAACCCCATGGAAGTTCAGTGTCCAAGTGGGTTACATAGTAATGGGAAGAGGGACTGCCTCTGACATAATCTGATTGGCCTGCTCGTTGATCACCTCCCTCTGAGGGGGAGCAGCTTTACCAGGCCACAGAAGAGGACAATGCAGCCACTTTTGATGTGAACTGATAGACTAAGGTCAGAAAGGAGAGGAGAACCTCCCCTATCAGTGGACTTGGGGAGTGGCATGCATGCAGAAAGGGGAGGGAGGGTGGGATCAGGAGGGGAGAAGGGAGGGGCTTATGGGGGGATACAAAATGAATAAAGTGTAATTAATAAAAAATTTAAAAAAATAAAGATGATACTCTGGGTGACAAGTAGATGTTTCATGAAATTGAGTGGCAGCATCTCTCCAGGTGGATCTGTATCCTAGCTCCATAGATTTAATGCCTGCATGAACTGGGGTGAATTAGCTTTCTACACCTCAGTGACTCTGACTCTAAAATGAAGAGACTCCTTTACCCACTACAGCAGACTCTTAGAGGAGTAATTGGTGCACAGGTAGCTGTACGTCCTATTAGCTTTCAGCAGTAGTGCTTTGTGGTTTAAGCCATGATATGGGTTATGTTGTGCAGGCAGTTCAACTGGCCTGCCCTTAGGGGCCTTTAGGGTGTGACCACATACTATGTCACTACCTGTGTCTTAGGTCAAGACCTGGGCCAGAATCTTCAGTTATAACCTGTCTGCCACCCCCATCCTTTCTCTCCCCCTTCCTTGGCCCCTCTCCCTCAATATCATTTCTCCTTCAGTAAATTTATACTTCTACAAGATTATCTCTGAAACAAACAATGTAAAAATTGAAAGAGCAACATAAAATTACAAGCTAAATGGTTACAAACAGTAATTGGTAAGAGTAAGATCGATAATTTTAGCTGTGTCATAATTTCATTTTAGGATGTGACAATTTAACACTGAATAATACACAATACACTATATAACAACATCCCAGTCAACAACTGTTCAGTGTTACAGTGGAAGTGCCACAGTTGCATAGCACAACCTTTGATGTTTATAGGATGATGAAATTGTCAAAGAACACATTTCCAAAATAGTATCCCCTCAGTGACATAAGATAGACAGATAGATAGACAGACTAGATAGATAGATAGATAGATAGATAGATAGATAGATAGATAGATGAATATAAATAGATATTACAAACATTCTGAGAACCCAAATTGATACAAGTAATATTGGTTAAAATATGAATTTTGCAGTGAGATTAATTTACCTGTGTCACACTGTTGTTTAAAACCTTTAAGTTCATATTTAGATTCCCTAGGAACATTTCATGTTGATTGACATCATAGTTTTCATTATAGCATTGATGGTATAGAGGTGACCATAGCTGCCATTCAAATTCTTCATGATATTCACTTTTCCTGCCTCTTAGCTCCGTTTTTATTTTTCCATAAAAACAACCATCATTTATTCTCTTCTCACTTTGTTTTAAGAAAGGCCTGCAATTAAGTATGCTTATATTAATATTCATTGTGGTGCTTGGATGAGAATAGCCCCAATAGGCTCAGACACTTGAATGCTTGGTCCCTGGCTGGTGGAACTGTTTGGGAGAGATTAGGAAGTGTGGCCTTCTTAGAAGAAGTGTGTCTCTGGGTGTGGGCTTTGAAATTTTAAAATCCCACACCATTCCCACTTCGCTCATTCTTCATGTCTGCCTCATGCTTGTGGCTCAAGATGTCAGCTCTCAGCTCCCTTCTCTGCCTCCCTAGTACTGTGTTACAGATGTACAGCATGTCAGGCACCTTTTCATAAGTGTTCTAGGAAACAAACCCAAGCCCGCGTTCTCTCATGGCAAGTACTTCACCTACTAACCCATCTTCCCAGCCCGCTAGTGTTTTCTTTTGTTTATTTCAGCATGTCAAAAACACTGACAGAACTCTTACAGTTGGTGGTTGTTTTCTGGTTTGCTCTAGGAGGCAAAAGAAAACACTCCCTGAACTTCCTGACTGACTTTGTGGCAGCCCAGATTGCACTGGGGAATACATCCATGTGATAGGAAAGCTTCGCACGCAAGCTGGGGTCTCTTAGTGCAATCTCCTTGATTTACAGTGACAAAATGGACCTATCGCCACCGTAACTGTCTATCATCCATTCAGCACCAGGACTTAGGACAAATGGGACTGATGTCATCTTGAGCTTTATGTTTTCCATGATTTATTTGGAGTGGAGGCATTGTTTTTATAAGAAAAGAATGTCATGTAGGTTGTCTAAAAATAAAGTGCATTAAAAATTATAAAAAGAAAGTTTCAATGAGGTCTGGGGTGTCTAGCACATGAGACCCTTAGTTCATCCCAAGTAATGAAAAATAATTAAAAACTACAACTGTTTACATTCTAGAAAAAAAATTCTGGGATCATGAAAATGATCATTTTATATTCTTTTTTTTTAATTTTTTATTGATTCTTTGTGAGTTTCGTATCATGCACCCCAGTCCCGCACATCTCCCCCACCCTCGTATCCACCCTTCGGCCTTGCAACCTTCCCCCAAAATAAAACATGGAGGTAAACAAAAACAGCAAAGCATAGTAAACATCTCATCGTGAAAGCTACTGTATGTCACAGTGTGTCCCACAGCTTAGCCCTCTGTCCACAAATCTTCACTCGCAAATATTCATTGCAGTGAGTCATTGGTCTGGTTTGAGGACTCGGGCTTCTGTGACACCATCAATATTGGGTCCTCACTGGGATTCCTCCCAGTTATCCTGTTGTTGCCCTGTGTCATGAAGACCCTGCAGCTTTGGATCAGCAGGACTGGCCCTTTCACGTGTCCCAATCATTTGCAGATTTTATAGATTTTGGGGTGGGCCAACTCAGAGCTCTGGATATGGGCCTGCATGGTAGCTGAGCTGGTCAGTGCACCTTATCTGAAACCACCAGGGAGAGCTTTCCAGCACTGCTCAGGCTAGGCCACCTACTGCAACCATCAGCAGGAGGCAAGGTCAACTCCCGCACCTCACTGTGTTCATCCATTTTACAGTTCTGTAGCACCACATTAATGTTTACATTTTTTTCAACTTACCTGTCATGCCTCAAATTGCAGAGTTCTTCCTGTTCTGCTTCTCTTTGCTCTAGTTGTGATAACACTTTTGTAATTTCAGAGAGTTCTTTGTGTATTCCACCATTCTTACTTTCCATTTTTTTAATTTCTTTTGTAAGTACATCACCACAACTTTCTTTAATTTCTAGTAGTCTTTTATATAAATATAATTCATCCCAGAATCCCAGTAGGCAACCAGAATCTGTGTCTAGGAGAAAACAACATAGAAATAAAATATCTAAACATTTTTATGCATGAAGGACTATACATTTGACACCCTCTAGTCTATTTGCTTAGCTAACAGCTCCTGCGTGTGGACAATGTGGAACATATTTTTCTGACTCTTCAAATACAATAGATGAGATCATGCTCATGTTCAGCTTTATGAGTAATGAAAAGAAAGTAAAATGACTCTTATAAGATCAGATAAATGCTGTAAGAAAACAGGGGAACACCTCCAGTGGGCTCAAGAAAGACTGCCCTGAAGAAGAGATGGCTACACTAAGAAATGGATGACTAACACGATTCACACAGAGGATACTCTAGCCAATTACAGTATTTATTGAGACTCCATTGCTCTCTGCTTTCTCCCAAAATGGAGTGAGAGGTATAGACTTATAATTTTACCACCAAGGGAAACCACCAAGGCCAAAACAGATGAGATTTTTGTCAACAATATTTAAGACAAGGGATTATCAGCCATGATCATGATCCTAAACCTTACTTACAAGGGGAAGAGACTAAATTAGAACCAAGGATATTGTCTGGAAAACCTACTGAGATCTCCACTAAAATTAAAAAATGGAGGTATAATTTAGCGGTAGAGTATCTGCTTAGCATGTATGAGGCCAAAGATTTAATCTTTGGAACTGAAACAAAAACAAAACAAAAAAGAAAAAAGAAAAAGAAGTATTTTCCAGATATCAACAAAAGTGCTCAACATCTAACTATTCTCTGTGAATATTTCTATCTTACATATGTAGAATGGATGATAGTGGTTATAAGATCTCAGGGAAAAGAGTCCAGCTGGCTAGGAGGAATCACTCCTGATATTCTATAGCACACAGAACAATAAAATAACTATGAATGACAACAATTGACTGATGAATTTGAAAATCTGTAAAGGATTAGTGATGCTATAACAACAAAGGAACAGTAACTATATGAGGTAATTACTATGACAGCCAACCTTATTTGATCATTCTAGTTTGATCATCCATATTGTACACATATGTGGAAATGTAGGACTGGACCGTATGATACAGCCACACAGCATTCAAATGTAAAAATGTGTAAACCTAATTTAAAACTATACTTTATTAGAATATCAACAATTCAGAAAAATGTGGTAAATGGATAAAGATCTATACAACAAAAAACTACAAATATTGTTGAGAAATCAAAATGAGTTATATGTAAGTAATCATACTTTACTCAGGAGTCAAGGATTAATTATTTAATCCTTTAATTTAATTTAACTTGGAAGCACACTCCCAGTGACACACCTTCTCCAACAAGGTCACATGTCCTAACACTTTCTAAACAATTGCACCATCTAGGAACCAAGCATGGAAATATGTGAGCCTATGCGGCCATTCACATTCAAACCACGACATCTGCAGGATTGTTTTTGGTTGAAGTTATTTATAAAACTCCTTTGATGGCCTGGGAATATAGCTTAATGTGAGAGCAGCTACCTAACACGCACATTTCCTGGGTTTAACCCAAGCACCGAAAACGAACAACAGTAATAAAATAATCAGAGAAATGCAACACATCTACAATAGCCAAAATAGTCTCCAAATGCGGTACAATAAAAGTGTGGGTAGGACTGCTCTCGTATTACAGATCTACAACAATCAAGAGAGTGATGCCAGCATAAAGACATAAAATACTGACTACAATTTAAAGGACAGAAACACAAAAGTAGCCAACTTCTTTTGATAAAAACAACAAAAAGGCAATAGGAGATCACAGCACCTCACAGACATGGAGGAAAATGCCCAAAGGAATTTGACACTTTCAGGTAATATACACTAACAAAAATGATATGTAGAAGACTGGCTAGTGGCTGAATGGGACGGAAACAGTGTTACCAAGCGTGCAAGACACCTTAGGATGGATCATTACCAGTCTGAAAGAAAAAAAAGTTAAAATTCAAGCCTAAAAGAAGGAAAAAGCATTACAATATATATATATATATATATTTATTTATTTATTTATTTATTTATCATATATATGATAAGGAACATATACTGACTATACATTGAATTTTTGAAATGCAATGAATAAAAACAACTAAATTTCTTTAAAGGTGAAAGGATTTGTAAAAGACTACTTGCTAAAGAAAATGCACTGATGGGGAAAAATCACGTTTAATATTGGAGTTTTCAAGTCATGGCGGACTACACAAAGGACATGCTGGAAGGTTACATCCTTTTGTTTGAGACAGAGTCTGTGCAGGAGTGAATTTTTAAAACATTAACACTTGCAGAGGAGACTGTGGTTCTAGGAGGTAGGGGTAGCAGGGAACAGCTCTGCGGTTACTATAGTATTCCAGGATGAGACCATGGTCAACCTGACCTAGTCATTGTACAGGGACAGGAGAGAAGACAGTCAAGAAAAGATGGGACTGTCACACACACACACTGACAAAAGTACAGTGGGGCTAGGCATGGCAGCCACTCTATTTCAATATAAAGTAAAGGGGTGGCATGAGCAGAAAGTGTAACACACCACTGTTCTCTGTGACAGTGCTACTCAGGCTGCACCTGTGAGTACCAGTCACACAGAAGGACCTTGTATTTCTGCACTAGTCCTGACATCACACTCTATGCCAGGTTTGTGTCTCACAGCAAAGCATATTCATCATTAGTATGAAGCAACTCACAGTCTTCTGAAGCTGTTTCAGATGGCACAGTCCAGTCATCAAGGCCTTCTAGAATATTTACTTGCTTTTTTACCTGTAAAATAAACACCACAAAATGTCACCAAAACGTTTGTACCATATATAACATGTATGGATTTATTATATCTTTAAATATATTGAGCTGAAGAGATGGTTCAGAAAAAAGTTTAGAGCAATGGCTGTTCTTGCAGAGGTCCCAGGTTGATTCCCATGAACCCACAAGCTAGTTCAGCTCCTCTTCAGACCAACTACATGCATGTGGTATACGTACATACATCAGGCAAAACATTCACATAAAATAAAAAATATATAATATATATACAAATATATACTATATAAGTATATGGTATATAGTTAAATGTATATAAATATATGTAATACATATATACTTATACAGTAGATATATGTGTATGAATACACACATATATATGTGAAGGTATGTATATATCTTCAGAAGTACATGTGCCTCTGAAAAATTGGAATTTTGTCAGAAGGTGCCTTTGGATGGTAACTGTTCTATAATTTCTTTTTCAAAGAACTGTCTTTACATAAGAAAATATTCTATTTCTCTTAACATTTTATCATGTATTTCTTAAAAGACTTATTTATTTAATTATGTATACAATATTCTACCTGCATGTACACCTGAATGCAAGAGGACACCAATTTTCACTATAGATGGTTGTGAGCCACCATGTGGTTGCTGGGAATTGAACTCAGGACCCCTGGAAGACCAAGCAGTGATTTTAACCTCTGAGCCATCTCTGCAGCCCCCTTATTATGTATTTTTTTAATTTTTTTTTATTTTTAAAATTAATATATATTTTTTTTATTAATTACACTTTATTCATTTTGTATCCCCCCATAAGCCCCCCCTCCTCCCCTGCTGATCCCACCCTCCCTCCCCTTTCTGCATGCATGCCACTCCCCAAGTCCACTGATAGGGGAGGTTCTCCTCTCCTTTCTGATCTTAGTCTATCAGTTCTCATCAAAAGTGGCTGCATTGTCCTCTACTGTGGCCTGGTAAGGCTGCGCCACCCTCAGGGGGAAGTGATCAACGAGCAGGCCAATCAGATTATGTCAGAAGCAGTCCCTCTTCCCATTACTATGTAACCCACTTGGACACTGAACTGCCATGGGCTACACCTGTGCAGGGGTTCCAGGTCATCTCCACGAATAGTCCTTGGTTGGAGTATGAGTCTCTGGGAAGTTCCCTGTGTTCAAATTATCTTGTACTGTTGCTCTCCTTGTGGAGTTCCCGTCCCCTCCAGCTCTTACTATTTCCCACTTCTTACATAAAATTCCATTCACTCTGCCCATCAGTTGGCCATCAGGCTCAGCATCTGCTTTGACAGTCTATACTGCAGAAGCTTTCAGAGGCCCTCTGTGGCAGGTTTCAAGGTTGTTTCCTGTTTTCTTCTGGCTTTCAGAGGCCCTCTGTAGCAGGTTCCGAGATTGTTTCCTATTTTCTTTTTCTTCTGATGTCCATCCTCTTTGCCTTTCAGGATGGGGATTGAACATTTTAGTTAGGATCCTCTCTTTTGCTTAGTTTGTTTAGATGTACAGATTTTAGTGGGTTTATTCTATATTGTATGTTTTTATGCGTGAGTATATACCATGCGTGTCTTTTTGCTTCTGGGACAACTCACTCAGGATGATCCTTTCCAGGTCCCACCATTTACCTGCAAATTTCATGATTTCCTTATTTTTCATTGCTGAGTAATACTCCATTGTATAGATGTACCACAATTTCTGCATCCATTCTTCAGTTGAGGGGCATCTGGGTTGTTTCCAGCTTCTGGCTATTACAAATAAAGCTGCTACAAACATGGTTGAGCAAATGTCCTTTTTGTGTACTTGTGCCTCTTTTGGGTATATGCCTAGGAGTGGTATGGCTGGATCTTGAGGAAGCGCTATTCCTAGTTGTCTGAGAAAGCGCCAGATTGATTTCCAGAGTGGTTGTACCAGTTTACATTCCCACCAGCAGTGGAGAAGGGTTCCCCTTTCTCCACAACCTCTCCAGCATGTGTTGACACTTGAGTTTTTGATCTTGGCCATTCTGATGGGTGTAAGGTGAAATCTCAGGGTTGTTTTGATTTGCATTTCCCTAATGGCTAATGAGGTTGAGCATTTCTTTAAGTGCTTCTCTGCCATTCGATATTCCTCTACAGAGAATTCTCTGTTTAGCTCTGTTCCCCATTTTTTAAGTGGATTACTTGGTTTGTTGCTTTTCAGCTTGTTTAGTTCTTTATATATATTGGATATGAGTCCTCTGTCAGATAAAGGGTTGGTGATGATTCTTTCCCAATCTGTAGGCAGTCGCTTTGTTTTGATGACGGTGTCCTTTGCTTTACAGAAGCTTTTCCATTTCATGGGGTCCCATTTATTGATTGTTGCTCTTAGAGCCTGTGCTGTTGGTGTTCTATATTTTTATAATTAGATATACTGCCTTTTGAAATTTTCTTCTTCTTGATTGATACAGGTTCTCTCTATGAAGCCCAGGTTGACCTAGAACTCTTTATGTAGACCAGGCAAGCTGCCCTTAAACTCATGGAATCTGTCCTGAGTACTAGATTAAAGGCATGTGCTCCCACACCAGACTAAAAATTTATTCTTTTGTTGCTCTTGTTTTCTTTTGTTTTGGTTTGGTTTTTGAGACAGGGTTTCTGTTTAGTCTTGGACCCTTTGTAGACCTGGATGGCCTCGAACTCACAGAGATCTACCTGCCTCTGCCTCCCTGAGTGCTAGAATTACGGCATGCACCATTGTGATCTGCAAAATGTATTATTAACAGAAGCATATTTTCACAGTTTTGAAATTCTTAAAACCTATATTAACAGGTACTTGAAGTTTACCTTCTTTTGGTAGAAAGTTGACTTACTGCAAAATTCTATAAGGAGTTAATGTTGAAGTTCATAAAAACCTCAACTTGACCAGCTGTACAACAAAGTAAACTTTGAAGGTACATTGCAAAAACTCCCAGCTCTTTATAAAATTGTACAATTGTCATTTTAAAAAAGAGAATTTTTTTATGTTGAAGCAGGGAAAACCCTACACAACATCGATAATAATTAACTAATTAATTAATTAAGCACTGAAGGTCTTCAGGCCTAACCATTTATTTTCTGGGCTCTAAATTCATTTCTGCTTGCTTGATGACTCAGCAGGCTGCTGGTAGTGGTGGTCAGCCTGCATCTCCTTGACCTGGAGGGATTCTCCATGGCCGAAGCTTCTGCCACCTCCCTTTGCATCTTCTAGTTTAGGGATTTCTGGTCTTCTGCAATGGGAGTTGATGCTGCAGTGGAACAGATGTGACGGTGGCTGCTGACCTGGGTCTCACCTCTTAGCTTCCCACATCCTGTTCACTGCCTTTCTTTCTAACCTGCCTTTGGCAAGGAGGAGGGCCCCAACAACTGTCATCACGGTCTATAGCCCATGCATGCTCTGTATCAGTGGCCTTGTTCTTCACACCCTGGTTGTCAGGAGCCTCCATCACTGGTCCCAGCACAGGTTGATGATTCCAATAGGGCCACTACATGCAATAAAGCGGGAACATCTGTATCTGCCGGCATGTTTGACCTAACCTCATCAGAACTTACAAATCCTTCATTCCTTTCCAAATTTCACTATTATAACTTTGCAGATAAATTGTGTGCAAGAGCCTTGTGACCCGGGTAGTGTATACACTTGTCTCAGAGTTACTACTGCTGTGATGAAACACCATGACAAAGCAAGCTGGGAAGGAAAGGCTTTATCTGGCTGATGCTTCCAAATCACTGTTCGTCATTGAAGAAATTCAGGGCAAACCTGGAGGCAGGACCTGACACAGTGGCCATTGAAGGATTCTGCTTCCTGGCTTGCTCTCTATGACTTGCTCAGCCAGCTTTCTTAGGATCCCAACCCCTGCAGAAATTTTCTCAATTGAGTTTTACGTTGTTCAAATGGCTGTAGCTGTGCACAGTTCACATATAACTAGCCAGCACAACAACAGTTACTCTGTGTTACTGTCCTGAACTGGAACAGCCTCCAAACCCATTTTTCCTTCAACATCTTCAAGCTCCATGGTCTGTCCATCTCCTGGAGGCCAAAGCGAGTTCCTGATTCCTCTCATTGGCAGTCTGACATACTAATGTGTCATCATGGGTGCCATTCCTCTTGCTGAAACATTACCTTTTTCTTACCCTGAAACCTCTGACCAGATAACTCCCTGCTCTGACATTCCTGACTTGCTGGCAGGCAGTAGCTATGGACCATCCAGGCCTCCCCTCCCTCTAAGGATGCACATAGTGGCAGGCTGAGGATGGGCAGCACTGAGAGGATGGAGCTTTTGTTGCAAAGCTGTTAAATCTCTGCACCACTGCTCGGGGCGAAAGAGATGCAGAAGGGAGGCTCAGCAGCTCCCCCATGTGGCGGTCACCTATCTGCAAGGCGCTCTCTGATTTTCTCTGCTCCAGCCACTAAAAAATGGCTTTCATTATTAGTTACAGTACCTCATGCTCTTCTATAGATGAGCTCTTTGTAGGCCTTAAAAAGTAAAGAAACACAAAATTCTTTCAGATGATTAGGAAATATTTTGAATGTAAATTATATTTTTCATGCATATAATAATCTGAATAATGTACTTATTCTGTTCATAACTGTTATAGGATACTTAAAATACAATTATTTCTACAAATGGGACTGAAAATAAACCTAAGGAACAAATAATACTATTATTATCATGGCCAATAATTAACTTCAGTCAAACTTTCTAATTGTCAAAGAAAAAGGAAAACACCTCGTTACTTTTATTATTTAATAGAAAGAAATGTACCTTTTTTTTTTCCTTTGTCATTTAAAACTCCCTCAGGCCTGAACATACTGGTGCATGCCTTTAATCCAAACAATCAAGAGGCAGAAACAGGCAGGTCTCTGTGAGTTTAAGGCTAGCCTGGTCTACATAGCGAGTTCTGGGCCAGTCAGAGCTCCTAAGTAAGAAAGCCCATCCCGAAAAACAAAAAGCAAGGGCTAGAAACACAGAGAAGAGGTTAAGAGCATTTGTTGCTCTTGCAGAGGACCTGAATTCCATTTCCAGTATCTACATGGTGATCCACAGCCAATGTAACTCTAAACCCAAAGTCTGTGATACCCTCTTCTGACCTCCGCAGTCACCAAGCACGCATGTAGTGCACATATATACATGCATGCAGAGAGCATAGGCATAAAATTAAAAATCATAAACCTAATTTTAATTTTTAAAATAAATAACAAGATGAAAATACACCAGCAAACTTTCATGAACACCAAAACCCACTTAGAAAATATTGCTTAAGCCCTCAGAAAACCCTTTTTAAAAATAACTCTAGTGGACAGGAACTCCATAAGGAGAGCAACAGAACTAAAAAAATCTGAGCACAGGGGTCTTTCCTGAGACTGCTATTCCAACCAAGGACTATGCATGGAGATAACCTAAGACCCCTGCACAGATGTAGCCCATGGCAGCTCAGTATCCAAGTGGGTTCCATTGTAATAGGAACAGGGACTGTCTCTGACATGAACTGATTGGCCTTCTCTTTAATTTCCTCCCCCGGAGGGGGAAGCAGCATTACCAGACCACAGAAGACAACGCAGCCACTCTTGATGAGACCTAATTGACTAGGATCAGAAGGAAGGAAAAGCAGTCCTCCCCTATCAGTGGACTTGGGGAGGGGCATGCAGGCAGAGGGTGGAGGAAGGGAGGGATTGGGATGGGAGGAGGGAAGGAACCACAGGGGGGGATACAAAGTGAGTAAAGTGAAATTAATAAAGAAAAATTAAAAAAAATTATTTGAAAAGCTAAAAAAAAATCTCTAGCATTCTGGGACCCTGTGTGCAATTCTGGAGGCACTGTACATGTGTCATTTTAAAACTCACCACAGGAAGCTCAGTGAGCTTGAAGACAGCCTGGTCTACAGAGCTACTTTCAGGACAGCCAGGGCAACAAAAAGAAAACATGCTTCAAAAGAGGAGGAAGAGGCAGACGTAAGAACAACTATATTGGGCATGGTCCCTGCACTTCAGAGGCAGAGGCAGATGGATATCTTGTGAGTTCAAGACCAGCCTGGCTACATAGTGAGTTCGAGGACAAGGAGAGATCCTATAAAGAGAGTCCAGATTTTTTTTAAATCTTCTTTATTTCAGTCATGCAGTCTATAGCTAGATTATTACATGTCTTTTAAATTCTATTTCTGTAAAGCTACTCCTTGACAAAATTCTGTAATTACCTTTGAAAACAGCTTCAACAGTCTTGTTCCTTATTGAGGATATAGGATACATTTTACTGCCCAAAATTATTTACTTTATTTAAGAAGACTTTTTTTTACCATTTTTGCTTTCTTCCCTGGGTCTTCTACTGTTAATCAAATGAAGTTGGACATTTCTCCCCTATTCATGTCCTTCCCCTTTCCAAGAGCACACAAACACACATTCTCCACAATGTTCACTTTAATAAGAACAACCTAAATCTTACAGTCTTCCATAGTTACTGCCTCCTTCTCAACTGCTTCTCCAGTCATCTGGCTTCCATAATGCCCACTCATTGGCCTGTCCCAATTTCACTCAGTGCTCCAACAGCATTGGAACAGCCGAGTGTCCTTTTGCCTCAAGTGATCATTATAATCATTTGTTTTGTTTCCAGAAAAAGCACTCACTGGAAATATTCCTTTGCAGGGAACAAGGCACTTCATTTTTACCTTTGCTCATCCTGATGTACTTCAAAAGTGCAATCATCCTTCACCTGTAGCAAAGAACTTGTGTCTGTAGTACATTTCTCACATGTTGGGGTAGTCACAGATTCTCTGGGAAAATATATTTCATTTTCACTTCTTCTTACTTCCATCAAATATGTGACAATTTCACTCCTTTAAGAGAGTCATAAAAACAGCATTTTTTTTTTTAGTAATTCTACTGGCCAACATTAAAAAGCAATCGGATGAAACCCTGTCTTCCCCACATTAATACGTGTATTCATTTAAAAAAATGTTTTAAAACACCCCAGCTAAAGTCAGTGAAAGTATATTTTCTAATTATAAAAATAGGTAGCCTATACAAAAATTGATGGATGAACAGTGGAAGCCAGGCATGAGGAAGACTTCACAGCAGAGTAAAATATTTCAAAGGGAGTTCATCTGGACAAGCATGAGAGGAAAGTGTTCTACTTGGCCAACAGAATGTAAACACAGAGACTAGGAGCACGGCACCTCAACATCTTAAAAGAAAAAACGAAAATACCCAGAGATTAAGAGATGAGTGTCATACTGCTTGTAAATGCAAATGGCTAGAACTTACTGTTTACAAGCAGTAAAAGGGTTGGAGGAACAAGGGCCAACAAAGCTATCTTCATCCCTCTTATTTTTTAAGATAGCAATGCTCACTGAGTCCAAAGCTCACTGATTGGCCATAGTGACTGGCCAGTATCCTGCCCTTCCCCCACTCCAGGGCTAGAAGTGCAGAACCACACTACTATGCCTGGCTTTTCTTGAGGATCTGAACTCAGGTCCTCTTGCTTGCACAGCAAGCATTTTGCTGACTGAGACATCTTCTCAGTGAAAGAAATGAATGCTAGACATAGAAATAATATTAATAATTAGATCTGTGCTACATTTTTCTTTTGTTTTAAATATAAACTTTAAAAAAGTTTAAAATAACACAGGCAATATGACAGAAAATGAAAAAAAATCTTCAGAGCAAAGTCTTACTTCTAAAATATACGACAATATATAACACAGGGCAACAGCAGTAAACTACTGATTAGCATAATCTTGTTTGAGTAGAAGCCGCAGGGGTCAGTCTGCTTAATTTTTCAGCTGATCGTGTTGCTGACCTTTAAACTCCATGCTCCCAAATATCAACCTACTTACCTGGTTGAAGTTGGCGTGTCTCTTAGTAGCAATATTTCTACAACGCTGTACAAATTCAGCAGGATTAAAAGTTAGACCTGTGCTTGACCAACACAGTTCTTCCTTGCCAAAGACAGCAGTAATTTCAAACGTGTCTTCTGGGAGAAACTGAAGTCTCTTCAATGATCTGTCTAAAACCGTTCTCACGGTATTGCTTATCATAACAGAGGCCTCCTTGATAGTTTTCCCACTTCTACAATAGCTTTTGCTACATTCACTCTTTAACATTTAATTTTGCTAATAACATATAAATGACTTTTGCTATTTCTTTGATCTATTTGCCACAGATAGAACTTTCATAAGATAAATAATGGTAACTACAATGTTGGAACTTTCTGTCTACAGGGAAAATTACTATTGTGGTGGCTATAAAAGATAATCAGACTTTCTTACTGATTATAATTAGTAAATGAAAATCCTGAGACTTGATCCACATCTAAGTTTCTTTAAATCAACAATTAGTCTAATGTTTAAAACAACACTCAGAGCTTCTGCAAAGCAAAGGACACTGTCATCAAAACAAAGTGACTGCCTACAGATTGGGAAAGAATCTTCACCAACCCTTTATCTGACAGAGGACTCACATCCAGTATATATAAAGAACTAAAGAAGCTGAAAAGCAATAAACCAAGTAATCCACTTAAAAAATGGGGAACAGAGCTAAAGAGAGAATTCTCTGTAGAGGAATATCGAATGGCAGAGAAGCACTTAAAGAAATGCTCAACCTCATTAGCCATTAGGGAAATGCAAATCAAAACAACCCTGAGATTTCACCTTACACCCATCAGAATGGCCAAGATCAAAAACTCAAGTGACAACACATGCTGGAGAGGTTGTGGAGAAAGGGGAACCCTTCTCCACTGCTGGTGGGAATGTAAACTTGTACAACCACTCTGGAAATCAATCTGGCGCTTTCTCAGACAACTAGGAATAGCGCTTCCTCAAGATCCAGCCATACCACTCCTAGGCATATACCCAAAAGAGGCTCAAGTACACAAAAAGGACATTTGCTCAACCATGTTTGTAGCAGCTTTATTTGTAATAGCCAGAAGCTGGAAACAACCCAGATGCCCCTCAACTGAAGAATGGATGCAGAAATTGTGGTACATCTATACAATGGAGTATTACTCAGCAATGAAAAACAAGGAAATCATGAAATTTGCAGGTAAATGGTGGGACCTGGAAAGGATCATCCTGAGTGAGTTGTCCCAGAAGCAAAAAGACACACACGGTATATACTCACTCATATAAACATACAACATAGGATAAACCCACTAAAATCTGTACATCTAAACAAACTAAGCAAAAGAGAGGACCCTAACTAAAATGCTCAATCCCCATCCTGAAAGGCAAAGAGGATGGACATCAGAAGAAGAAGAAAACAGGAAACAACCTAGGAACCTGCCACAGACGGCCTCTGAAAGCCTCTGCCCTGCAGACTATCAAAGCAGATGCTGAGCCTGATGGCCAACTGTTGGGCAGAGTGAATGGAATTTTATGTAAGAAGTGGGAAATAGTAAGAGCTGGAGAGGACAGGGTCTCCACAAGGAGAGCAACAGAACAAGAAAATTTGAACACAGGGAACTTCCCAGAGACTCACACTCCAACCAAGGACTATTCATGGAGATAACCTAGAACCCCTGCACAGATGTAGCCCATGGCAGTTCAGTGTCCAAGTGGGTTACATAGTAATAGGAAGAGGGACTGCCTCTGACATAATCTGATTGGACTGCTCTTTGATCACCTCCCCCTGAGGGGAAAGCAGCCTTACCAGGCCACAGTAGAGGACAATGCAGCCACTTCTGATGAGAACTGATATACTAAGATCAGAAAGGAGAGGAGAACCTCCCCTATCAGTGGACTTGGGGAGGGGCATGCATGCAGAAAGGGGAGGGAGGGTAGGATCGGGAGGGGAGGAGGGAGAGGCTTATGGGGGGATACAAAATGAATAAAGTGTAATTAATAAAAAATTTTAAAAAAACACTCAGGATTGTTTTAACCCTGTTCATTTGCTCATTCAATAAATATGCTTTGAGTAGCCACTTACTGTATACTAGCCCATTATCTAACCAATGAGCTTATAGTAAGCAACACAAGCCTACAGATATTGAAGTATACATGGAATAACAATAAATGAGACAGAAAAACAGACATAGAGTATGTTAGAGGATGAAAATAAGCTTCTATGTACTGTAGTGGTGAGTTGGAATGAACATTTTGCCAGCAAGACCAGGTGGGTATGCTGAGAACATGGCTTGTAAGCAAGAGCTAAGGAAAAAGAACAAGGCAGACAGCTGTCAGAAAGAAAACTTGTAAGTGTAGAAAGATGCCTGAGTATTCAATGTGGCAGGGTTGGAATGACAAGGACAGAAAATCTAGGTTAAAGTCAGAGACAAAACAGGAGCCCAATCTGTGTGTCTCAAGAGACACTGTGGAGGCACGCTGAGTGGAACTGGAGGCAAATGGGTTCGAGGAGAGGAACTGCAGTCTGACTTCTGTGTCAGTGAATTTATTAACGAGAGGACGAGGCCATGAGTTTCCCTTGTGCTTGCCAGCTCTGATGGTTACATTTAGACAACATTGCTTTCAATAAAACTAGAAAACGAGATCAAACTATCTGAACATTTCTAACAGTGGGCAATACTTGTTTATTGGCACATGGCGCACAATACAATGTGTTCATCATGAATGTTAGCCAAAATGAGAATTTGTTTTGTAAGTCAAAAATAATCTCTATTTTGAACTAATGTTGTGATCTTACTTATTGTGTTCTTCTTTTTTCTCAAGAGCAAACTCCTTATTTGTAGCCGCACTGTGCCTTTGTAGAGTTGGTTCATTGCCTTTGTGTTCGGCAGTAGCAGTGACAGCCTCAAAAGCAGCAGTGACAGCAACAGTGACCACAGCACTAACAGTAGCATTGGAGGAGGACACAGCAGAGGTCACTGCAGCAGCAGCAGCTGAAGAAGCAGAAGCAGAAGCAGCAGAAGCAGGAGAAGATGCAGAAGGAGAAGCTGCAGACGCAGAAGCAATATTAGAAGCAGCCAAAGCAGAAATAGAAGCAGGCTCCGCAGAAGTGGAGGCAGCAGCAGCAGCCGCACAGACAGAAACAACAATGCCAGCAGTTCTGTCATCAGATTTCTCCAGTGCGACATCCAGTTGCTGGAGTTGGTACTTGCCCTCTTCAACCTTTAAGGAAAGTTCGAATTGTGTTATTTTTCATTAAAGGAGAGTTTTATAGTTTCATTCATCTTATTACTTGTCAATGGCATAGTCTTGATTTTAGTCCACAAATACTTATGTTATAATTTTATCAATACAGACCACTGACATTTGTAACCTCGGCTTTATTTCTGTTTGAGTTAAAGGCCCAGAGTTTTCAGAAATCTCAACAGTAGGCATGCTCCATCTGGCTTTTAATAGCTGCTGTTTGCTCCCTAACACTTCCACTTCCTGCATAATGGAAAGATACCGAGAAAGAGACAAAATGTGTCCTCTTCAGTCTGCATGACCTAGACTACACATTAACAGCAAGACTGAGCAATGAAGAGCTTTGGAACATAAGGAGCCTCGCCCTTCTGCACTCCTTTAGTCCTTTCCCCATGGCCTTTCACAACTGCCCCCCGGGATCTTGGAATAGCAAAGCAATGAAGGTGACCTTTGAAATGCATGAACACAGTGTGCCCCTACCCACAGCAGACAGGATCTGCTGAGCTGCAAGTATGGAGTCTGCAGATGCCTTCTGACTTCTCACTCCTTAACTCTGACTGTTTCACCTGGGGAATGTCAAGTAATGTCCTGCTTCAGATCATCAGCTACTTACGGTGGGAATGAAGTGAAGAAAGCCTGAAGGATTCGTCCAAAGCTCTGCAATGGTGTTACCCATTGGCTTATCTCACAAAGCACTTGATAAAATTCTGTAAGGCTAACTCAGAAAACCCACTGAATCAGCTAAATTTAAGAAATGTGAGTTTGGGGCTTGGAGGATGGCTTAGTACTTAAGACAATTCCATTCTGTTCCCAGCACCCACACAGGGGTTCACATCTGTCTGAAACTCCAGCTCCATGAATCCAGTGCCTTCTTCTGACCTCAGTGGGCACCAAGCATGCACATAGTGCACAGGCAGACATACAGGCAACATAGTGCACAGGGAGACATACAAGCAAAACACTCACACAAGCATACACAAAAGTAAAAAAAAAAAAAAAAAAAAGTGTGACTTTTAAAAACTAACTCAATGCTGTTTGGCAGCTGAGAAGTCTCATCTACTATTACTTACTTTTAAGTAATATTTCTAGGTTCTTGTTAGTCTTGACAACTTGGTGTATCTTAGAATTCACCATTCTACTTTGGCATTAAATACCAACAATGATATTTTCACATATTATCTGAGTTAAAAAAAAAAAAAAAAACAGCCTGGCATGGTGGTCCTCACCTTTATTCCCAGCACTCTGGAGGCAGAGGCAGATGGATCAAGGCCAGCCTACTCTACAAAGTAAGTTCCAGGACAGCCAAGGCTACACAGAGAAACTGTGTCTCAGAAAAAAAAATCCAAAACTTATTCAGATAGTATAGCCTAAAGAGGTGATGAAACAAAAATGTTGAGACAGAGTAATAATTAAAAAAAAAGATGTGGAAGTATATATACTTGTCAAAGGTGCTTAAAGTAGTAGATGATCTCAATGGTTTTAGTAAGAGAGATGAACTTGGACCACAATGGTCACATGAGTAATTGAGGGTATTTGTCAACCTAAATACATTTTCATAGTTCTCATTCATTGTTTCTGCCTCATCATGCAATCTGTCTTAAGTCAATAAAAAAAAAACCCTATGTTCATAACACTTTTATCATCCCCCTCTATTTCTCAATCAGAAGGTCACATGGTATAAGTCCAAGTTAATTTACCATAACATTCACCCCTTGGAAAATAGAAATAGTGAAGATGATTGAGGCACAAAGATCTGAGAATATTTTCCTCAACTCCTATTTAGACATCAAAAATAATCCATGTGACAGGGTGTGGTGGTGCATACCTTTAATCCCAGCACTGTCAAAGTAGAGGCAGGAGGCAATCTGAAAGTTCAAAGGCAGCCTGGTCCACATAGCAACTTCGTGACTAGCGAGGGTTAAGTAACAAAATGTTGTCTCAAAAAAAGTCATCTATATCTAGACAGAGTTTCATTAATAGATAACCTAGTGGTATATGTGGGAGGGTTGTAAACAGAATAAAATTGACAGAGAAAAAGCCACACAGAGTGAACTTCCTCTTTTTCCAAAGTCAGGAACCATCCTGATAATATTCCTGTGCCATTGTCAGCTTCCTCTGTCTTGCTGTAAGCCTTCATGAATACATACAACATTTAATGCTCTGTTGTTGGGAACAAGCAAAAGAAACTTTTCCAAGTCTTACCATTTTTTTTTTCAGACTCCATTTAAACATGGGAAGAAAGGAAGCTCAAGGTTCCAGGCTCTGGGGAAGCTGTGGATTTCCCAATACCTGAACAGCTTCTGTTACAAAGAAACAGTTGTCTCAGTACAGACATCTCAGGGACTGCTTGTAAGGAAACAGCTGACTGAGTCCAGACACCTCAAGGACAACTTCTCCATCTTGCTGCAGGGTCAAATTAAGCTCATGTTCCCAGGCCTAGGGACCTAGTCCTATCCTGGTTGATGGAAATTCCCTAGCTTAACCCCTTTTGTGAAAATATGATTGGACAATGCTACAGCCCATCCTGCTTCCCCTTGCTCTATGGTTTTCACTGTTTAAATATAATACAGCTTCCCTTAGGGGACCAGGTTCAGATCCCAAACTGGCTGCCTCCCTGCACACACAGAAAATAGAGCTTGCATTTTTAAAGCTTTGTATCTGAAGTGAGTTTTCTCGACTTCCACCCTGAACCCACCACTGTCAGTGTACAGTGGAAAAAAACTAACATTGTCTGTCTAGGTCCATGCTTCTACACGTAGCACACTGCCCTTACCGGGTAATAGCTTCCACTCCCAGGCTTGTACTTGTTTGGTTTTAGATTAGTTGAATTGCAGAAATGTGCATCTTTTTTTTCAGGCTCATGATACATTTATGCAGTGTACACCACTGCCCTTTTGGTTTACTAGGTTTACACACATATCTAATATCTAATTTTCTTTTTTGTTTAATTTTTTTATTCACTTTACATCCTGGTTGTAGCCCCATCCCACCCTCCGTCCCCACTAGTATCTAATTTTTCAATTATTGATATTTTGGTTTATGGATTTATGATTTGTGTATCAAACATGTTGGCTCCTTTCATTTCAACAATAAGTAGTCTAGCAGTCAATACAATTATCATCACCATTATTTTTGTGCTGTTATATAAATTGCCCTAATTTGTGTTAAAAATACGTTCAGGTGACTGGAGACATGGCTCAGCAGTTAAGAACACTGGCTGCTTTTCCAGAGGACCCAAGTTTGAGTCCCAGCCCTCACATGGCAGCTGATAACCGCCTGTTACTCTAGTTGCAGAGAACCCAATACCCTCTTTGGACCTCTGTGCCCACTGCATGCACATGGTGCACAGACATATAAGCAGGCGAAATACTCATAGACATAAAATAGTGAATAAATTTTTAATGTTTAAAGTATGTTCTTGATGTGGTTTGTTGTTCTCATAGTCTAATTTATTTTTATTTAAGCCTTAGAAGGTAACCTTAGACTAGGGACAAGAAGAAGATGCAATGACATTTTCAAGACTAAATTACTATAGAGACAGTCTTTCCGTGTTTCGAGATATTTGATCCCATTTGATACCCAAAATTGTGAACTGTAAACCCAGTTTCTTCAATAGGTTGAGCCCTATTATACACCCTTAATCCAAGAATTTTTTTGTTGTAAACAGCTGATTATGGTGTTGTTCACCCAGCCCTAGCACACACTTTTAATCCAAGAGCTCGATGTATACAAGATTTAATACAGTTAACCTGAGGTCAAGAGGCAAAGCTAGAATCAGCTGACAGAGATCAAAGAGAAGAGACTTTGAGTTGAAAGGTATTTAAAACAGCCTGGAGAAGAAGAAAGAGGATTAGCTCAGGCTCTGGCTTTAGCTTAGGCTTCAGCTCCTCAGCTCCCTGGCTTTTGGGGCTTTGAGCTGGCAAGCCTTCAGCCATGGGTTTTGTTTTGTTTTGCTTTGGGTTTTTGTTGTTGTTGTTGTTGTTGTTGTTTTGTTTTGTTTTGTTTGTTTTTACCTTTTGCTCCTGGGCTAGCAACTGAGCTAGTGAGCCTTTTGGCTTTTTTCCAACCAGACCTGAGCTGAGAAGGAAGGTTAGCTGGTTACTTCCTCTGCCTCTCTGAGCTAGCAGGTTTTCACCCCAGCAGCTGGCTCCTGAGTCTTTACTGGTAAATTAGAACAAACGAGATTTCCTTCATTTAAACAACATTTCCAGGTGCATCTTTTCCCTCTCAGACAGACATTATTTTTTAACTTAGAGGGAATTACCTTTACGTGTGCTTTTACTTTAGAGATGCCAAGTGGTGGCTGTTTCTTCAAAAGTTCAGGAAATGACCTTAATTTGTTTTTGAGGACTTTGTTAAGCTGAACACTTTGCTGGGATTGCTTGTCTGTTTTCATAGGAGGACATGCTGAATGTGGAGAAGTGTTTCCTGTATCACATTTCTTCTTCCCCTTCTGTTCCTGAGATATTTTTTGTAGATGATCAGGTAGAAGCCTTGTTTTCCTGGCTTGAGATGTTTTTTGTCTTGGAGGACTGGTTTTGAAAGCAACTTCATCCTTACAAGTTGTTGGGGACAGGGTAGACACAAAAAAGAATTCATAGTGCAATTATTTTCTTCATATATGCTTAGCAACTCACAACCCACTGGCCTATCATTAAGAACAGGGCTGCAGGTATAGTTCAGTGGTGCACCCTTTTCTCAAAGGTGTGAGGCCCTAAGTTCAATTCCTAGCATCAGAAAATAATTTTTTTTCAAAACACATGAAGGTCTTTTTATTGTAAATTACAAGCTGCAGCTTGGGCCCACAACACCCACCGCTTCAGCGGTGGGAGCTGAGCACACTGCGCCCAGGTTAGTTGGGTGATATATAGATTCTGGTCCCTCCCAGCATGCCCAAGGCAGGGGCGATTTCTGCCTGGCAAGCATCTATTGGTCAAAATGATACATTTTTAATTGATTGGCTATAGGAAGGTCCCCGG